CAGCAACAACAACAGCAAAATCCAAATGTTGAAAATCCACAAGGTATGAGTAAACAGAATAAAACTTGGGATTAGCAAAATGTTTTTCAGCTGCAGCCTACCAGAGCTATTCAACTTTTATAGTTTTGTTTAAGCCTGTTGGTATATGATTTTGAAATACAAAGTAGTTTATCATTTGAAAGTCACGAGTCAAAATTAACTTAGAAGATCAAATTTAAATGAAACTTCAAACTAAATTTGAAAGATTGAAAGGGAAAATATTATGGAATAAATAAAAGTTGATAAAATTATAAGCTCAGGAAAGTAGCCCAACTGGAAAGAAATGTTTCGGTCCATGAAGTTGTATACATTGAAAAAAAAAAAACTTGATGAGATCAGAAATAAAAAATCTAGTGTCGGGAACAAGATTTTTTAAAAGTTTTTTTTGCATATAAGCAAATAACCAATTTAAAATTTTGACCTCTTCTATCAATAAACATTTTCCGAGCCTCCATGATTTTCCTTGCTCACCAAGATATCTTGCAGGTTAGGGCTGAAAGCATTAGTTAAGAAAAAATTGTTAGGACAGGTATAGTTATTGTTTTTTTAATGAAAGGTGATAAAATTACTGATTGGTAGTGCTTTTTTTTCTTCTACTGTTTTAACTGTTAAACTGAGGTCATTAAAAAATTATTACATGCTGTTAATAATTTATAGGAAAAAAGTTAAGTACCAGTTAAATTTTTTTCAGTAACCTTAGTGCGTGGGATTCCTCGCACTGGTCGTTCCATCGGCCCTAGTATTTTACTGCTGGCAATCGAGCCCCTCATTTTGCGGGAAACTGAATAGATAAGAATGTGCGGGAAACATGTTGTGGGAAGGAAGCAAAGAGCAGGTGTGGAATGATGACCTTCAATCATTTATCGGTGGCTGTTCCGCGTCCTGTTTCTGTTGTAAATTAGCCCAGTGGCGCATTTGCAGGATTAGAAAGTGATATTTGCAAGATCATCGATGGCATTGTGCCCTGGATTCGGGAGCACAGTGAGCTGATTGTGGATGATGGCTCGATGCGTCAGCTGCGTGATGAACTGCTTCAACAGGCGTCCCGGGTATGCTTCCCGGAAGGGAATGCGGCCGCAGCCGCCACCAACCAGACATCATCATCTTCATCATCGTCTGACCTCTTCAAAAGTCAATTGAGCACAATTGTTGATGGCACTTTATCACAGTATGTTGGCAGTAAACTGAATGATGTGAGAGAAGAGCTCATCTTTGATATTTCCGAAATTTTGTACAATGAATTAGCATTTTTTCAGCTAATGTTCAATATCAATAATTTGGTGCCTTAGACCAGACTCTCTGGTACCACCAGGCATCAAATGCATGCTGTATTTTTTGGTACCACAACTTGTCAGTACACTCCGCTGCTTTTGCATTACAATGCATTTGCATTTTTATTTTTTGTGGTAGACAATATGTAGAATTTGGCACTTCAATGGGAGGAAATTCGTCTTAGTGAATCGCATGGAAACTCCCTGTTTTTTTGGCCTAGAGCATAAGATTCCAGTGCACCAGAACCTGTTGTTTATTTGGAAATGATCTGTCACTTCACAGCTAAAACCCCTTCCGTATTCGCTGTCTTTGAAAGGTGGAGGCACTTCGGCCTCTCGGAGGTAGTAAAATTTCGAAAAACTAAAAAAATTTAACCCAACTTGAAACGGCTACCAGTTCACCACGGATTTATATTCGGAACGTTTTCTAATGGCGCAGGCAACATCCATTCCAAAACTCCAGTCTTAGACTCTCCGTATCCACAGTGCGCCATATATTTCGAGTTGGCGGGACGACCCAGCACTTTGGAAGCCTTCCAGCCGTTCTTTTAACATCGCGTGAGTACCAGTCGACTATTCCTTTCATCCACCTATTATCTTCCCACACAATTAGATGCAAATTTAACATTCTACAACAGTAGTAGGACGCGCGCAGTTTTAAAACGGTAAGGGAACAACTGGGTAAAGGAGCGGGATGGGAAGGGGAGTGTCGACCGATCCCTCATTTTGATAAATTTGGTATTCCGGTTTCACTTCCGTAATTTCACCCGGTTATTCATTTTCAGTTATTTTTTTTTTTCCTTTCCTTTATGCTTTTGGATTTGTTGCTGATGATCGTTGTTCTGATTTTGGTGTAGAGTGCTACTTTGTTAGCTGGTATCAAGATCGCCTGGCTAATGTTTCCAAGCATCAGGCATAACTTCGATCCTAACACAGCTAATTTTTGTTCAGATTATCTGCTTTTACTGAATGCTCGGTTCCTAAATTGATGCAGCTGACGAAATCAGCTCGATTTCGCCCCGTTTCATTCTCTTCCGTTGTGGCTCTATTAATGTGAACAACGTATCAAATACATCATTTCCCACTCTATTGCAGGATATGTTCAGCTTTATTTGTTGATATTTTCCATTGATTTTATTTGTTGGAGTGATAAAAAATATCCTGTCCGCTTTCCGGTTACTCTATTTAACAGTTCTGCATTTGCTTTTTTTTACTTTACTCACAGTGGTGCACCTTGAAAGCGCCAAAATTTCCCAGATTGCAAAGGAAAAAACAACGGAAAGAGCAAAATTAAGTAAAAAGGCGCGAAATTAAGCAGGAGACGGAAGTTTGGCTCCAAAAGCTTCAAATTCAGATAGGTTAGGATGGATTAGAAGAGAGTACCAAGTATCAAGCAGCAGCAAGTTTCTTTTCGTTTAAACTCGGGCACACCACTAATTCATATAAACCCTATAGTAAAACACGCTTGTTCTGGCTTTAACTGTGCCTTCGTATGCTTGTAACGGGCCTTAACTATGCCTTCATATAATCAAATAATAAAGATATAAATTCAGTGTGCTGTATTGAAGCACTTTATTTGTTTATTACAAGATGCTGTGGTATTGCATGTGGCTTCGGAGCTCAGTAGCTTCCAGATCTTCAAGTTTGATTTCTTTAGTAGCAAGCAGATGAATTTCTTCCCAGCCACAGGGCGTATTCATTCCTCCTTTTTTTGTGCGTTTCTGCATGTTGGCAAAAAGCTTCCCGTACGTGTATTTGCCTCCCCATAGAATTTTATTTTTCCGTTTTTTTGATTCCCGAAGTTAGCGGTTTTCCAGCTAAAACATCTGCGTGTTTGTTCGTAAGACCATCAGGTCGGTTGGATCGTCCATTGAAAATGACCGGGATATTCAGTGAGCAATCTTTTCGCCAATACTTTCACGTGCTCGCGTGTGAGAGCTGGGCACACTTGCGTTTAAATTCGAAATCTTGAAGTTGTGCTGGACAGGGAACATCCCCTTAAAATTTCAGTACTCTAGCTTTTCTAGTTCCCGAGTTAGCAATTTTAACTGGTATGTACGTTGCGTACATGTTCTCTTAAGTATGAGAAGAGAATTCAAATGAGTAAGTATTTGATTTTCAGTTTCTCAAATGTATGTCAAACGAGCCTTTTTTGCTACATGTTACAGAAAGATGCTGGACGTACTGAATCGACGTAATAATGATCGTAAGCTTGTGGAAACAACTGTTTTTGCAACAGTCCTCTTCATCATTCTTGCCAGTCGCATAAAGCGTCGTGTTGCTTATATTAACTTATTATTCCTTGCCACTGTATTTACTACACTGTGTTGGTACTCATTTCGAGTATCAGTAGCAGTTTGGTCATTACCCGTACTGCTGTACAGTCGATTTTTTGATGGAACCGATCAAAGGTTTGTTCTGCCAAAATTGTAGGGGGGCAGCAGATATGGAACCGATCGAGACCGCGATTACCGCTTAATCGCCCTAAGCTCCACATACCTGCAGCGCAGTTCTTCCTGCCGATTTCATGTCAAGTGAATTAATGAGCTGCTGTTAAAAAGAATTGAATTTTTTTCTGAACATGCAAGGCCAGTGACATGTCAACGACCATGGCACCGCAATCCTGAGTGCACTAAATGAAAATTTTGAATCCTTTCTGGCTTCTACATAAAAAAAAAGTCAGAACTCTTCCTATATTTGCATTCTGTGAAAGATGAATGCGCTCGGTAAGTAGCCTGAGTGATAGCAAATTGCAAACAGCAACCAACAGCTGACAAGCCGTTGATGGCTGCCTTTTCGGAAAGTTGCTTAGAAACAAGCTGATGGCGAGTTTGACCCGCTAGCATGCGCTAGTACTGTATTTCGCTCGTGGGACTAGCTTCAAGGAAATTTGTAAGAATTTGTGTCGTTTCATTAAAATTACTTCTATTTCTTTGAATTTAGCAATATAAAAATTATTTTTAGGTATCATTTGCTGCAGTTTTGGGTAATTTGTGTTTGTGCAACACTTCTCTTCTGTTTCATCGTCAATCATTCATCACACAGTACAACGGTGCATCGAAAATTTTTCCACTTGACTGTTTCGCTTGTTTGCGTTACTGGCATACAATATGATTTTGAACTAATTTGGCTTTCTGCTTGGCTGATGCTTTGTGTTTTTGCTATTGTTGAGGCAAGTTCTGAGATCTTGAAGTTTGTTCATTTTGTTTTTTTTTTTCAAAGATCTCTTAATGTGTGCAGTTGCAATCATGCAAGGGTCAAAGCACACTGCCCCATTGGTTGGCTGCTACTAAACTCCACGCACCAATTCGTGGTACCTGCAAGAAAGTAAACGGTTTCGCACGCCGGATTTAAAAAAGTGTACTATATTGTAAAGAAGATGGCAACACGCAGCTTAGGAACAAAAGAATGGGAATAGCTTTGCACGCCGTGCGGGAATATCACTGGCGCAGAATACTCATACCAGTTGGCAAAGTTTGGCGCTGAGGCGCAA